GCATACACTTAGCATCTCCCTGAAAGAGAATGTAGAAATAGTAGTAGCTGCTATCTTTCTCACTCTTACCTTTAACCTCCCCCAAGAGTTCAGTGGCATTCAAGCGATCCACGCGCTCCTTCCAGTCTTTAGAGAGGAGTCTTTCCATGCAAGAGGGTTCTACAAAAACAAACAAACAAACAAAACAATTAGTTTCTTTTTATCAAGTCTGTTTCAATTTGTAACTTTCAGACAATAGCATCATATTTAAAATGAAATATGCATTTTACAACAGTCCACCTGTTCAGATACTAATGCTGAGGTCTCACAGGAGGCCTGACTGTCGCCCATAAACATAAAACTGGGGAAGTAGTAGAAAGAGGAGAAAATTGGGTGATGATAATAAAAAGTATGGAGAAGACACAAGAAAAAAAAAAACTAAGAATGAGTACATTTCCCATCAAGGAGAAGAAAAAATTTCCTCCTACTTTATCTAAAAAAAAAAAAAAAAAAAAAAATGCAGCAGCTGACCAAATGAGAATGTCTGCATTGTTTAGAGATGGTTGTCTTTTTTTCTCACAATGTGTCTCATGGCCTCAGGATAATAGACATCAGAGACACGTGGTCTCATAAGATTCATAAGGTCCCATTTGTTCAACTGGAGTCCTGCTGTGAACTTTACTTCAACAATGGGAACTTTTCAATTCTTCACCAGGCAAACAGTAGAGAGACAAACTTGGTAGAGACAGATATCTGCACATGTGCAAGCGGGATTGTTTGTGTGCCTCTGTCTGTGTGTGCCACCTGCGAATGAAGAAACAGTAAAGTGTGCACATTGTCAGGCATCAGCAAATAAATGTAAGCAAGTATAACCTGTTAAGTCTTGAGGTATATTTTGTGTTGTAATCGGTCTCCACTATAAACCCTTTAAATTTAACAGTATTTGTTTCCAAATGGAGGCAAAAATATAGTTGCTATATCATCCTCATTTTAAAGGGTACCCATGAGGATGGGAGAACATGAAACCCAGTGCAAACACAACTTTTGTAATATTCAGAAGTTGACTTTGTCAGAAAACACTGCTGACAGCTCTCAGCCCTCAGTGTAACAAATTTTTCCAGCGTGTGCTAGAAACACATAAATACGAGCTGTTCTTCTGCTTCAGTCACCACCACAAACCAAAGGTGACACCAGAAAAGCCTGAAATCTTTAAGCATAAGCACTACATTCAGAAATACAGCACCTGCATTACTTACTCTGTATGTCCAATTTCTGCACACGTTACGACACAAATCTTTAAGGTCTTTCATTTGTGTATACACTCTTGTTTTTCTGCTGGCAGGTGTGTCATAGATGGTGTCATGGTCATGCACGGACCCATGAGGAGGCCTCAGTCACCAAGGACATCAAAAAGCACACACACACACACTCGTACAAAAAAAGGAGACATTCTTGGGTGCAGTGTGGAAAACATGCCCCTAAGGGATTGCCTGATTTAGAATGGTTAAGTCAGACAATAGCGTATTTGTGGTGCCTTTATCCTGACAAAAGACGCGATAGGCATTCATAAGGGCACATGGTCTATTGTGAATGGCTTAATGTTTAGTTTGTGCGTATGGGCCCATTGTGCGGTCATGAGATGCCGTCCACCAGCCGAGCACAGCTTCCTTATTAGGTCCATTAAAACCTTGCATGTTTACAGTCGGATTATGATTGTTGTAAATAAGCTGATGCAGCCGTCCTCGTCACATGGGTTCAATGTAAACAAAGAGGGGGGCGGGGGGAAATGGCACCGACGTAGGGTGGCAGATATATACAGAACAAAGAAACAATTTAAAAATGACAGAAATTTTTTGTGGTGATTTCCCAAATTAGGCAATAAACAGCGGGTATTTCCAGGCAGGCGGACCACATTGAAGTAAAGTAATGTAATGAACATAGCTTCCACCCCCTCCGGACAATGGAATCCACCTGATTTTTATTTTTTTTTTGCAGATTTACTATACAAGTGGCTCCACAGGATAAGTATGTGTGTACATTTGGTTCAAGGGGTGATATTTATGGCTGGTAAAGGAGGAAGGCTGTGGGACAGAGGCAGGATGAGGGGCTTTTCTTCTAATCACAAGACCTGAAGACGCCAATGTGCACTTGTGCAGTGCGCCTTGTATCAAACAATATCAAGGAACCCAATTTATGAGAGCACTTAGTGAAGAAAATACAACCTATAACTCCAAGACACATCTGCATAAGTCAACTGTATGTGTACTCTATTGCACAATTTACACTCCTCGTACTGATAAACAGATCAGATGAGGAGACTGTGGGGGGATGAGAGCGGTGTGGTACGAAGAAAGAGGAGACGAGGAAGAGGACAAGAAGAGAGGGATGAGAGAGGATGGAGGGAGATGTTTTACCCTAGATGGCTCTTTATCCGTCACCGCAACTGAGTCAGGGTTCAAGTGCTGTTTAGATTGGTGGGTGGATAAAAATTCCTTGCTGTCCAGAAACAGGCCTCTTTATCAAACGAAGGAGAATACGGAAATTGGATGGGTTAAAAAGACGAGGGAGCGGGTGGATGTTTTGGCTGGTGAGGGAAGTAAGGTTACATTAAAAGAACGAAGGGGAAAGGTGGAAAGTAGGGCAGGCGGAGACAATGTTGAAGAGGAAATGATGAAGATGACTGTTTCAGCAATTTGGAAGAATTATAAAGACAAACTGAAGTGGGTAAAAACAAATGGGAAGGATGACATAGAAAAAGTAAGAATAAGGAAAAACTTTGTAAACAATATCAAATAGTTGTTGATGTGTTCTTGATGCTAGAAGCACTCCAAGAGCGCATACCTCCAGCAAGTCAGCTCACTCTCTGGGAGGTATTTACTTTTAAGGGTTTAACAGTATTGGATTTTGCATACATTCTTTTATTTTCTTTGTTCTTTAAACAAACATACTTTAAGACGTCTGTTGTACAGTAAAAGTGCAGCGTGCAGGCTTCTAATTTTAAGTACAAATATTTGTTATTATTATTATTTATGTGTACATGTGCACCATGTATGTCACTGTTAGCAAAACTGCTTTAAATGTTTAGTAATAAATATAGAGTGAAAAAAGAGCACAAGTTTATATTAACCGACACCCCAAAAATAAAACGCATTTAAGTTGTTATAAACTGTTAGTGTAATGTACATAACATTACATTATACTATTAATCAGCTATACTCAAAAAGTATCCCATCCCAACATTATCCCTTTCACCTTCAGGTTAGTCTATTGTCCATGACAGAGAGGTCAAAGGTCAAAAAACACTTGTAAGCACAAGCACAAGTTATACGTCTTTTTTTCAATTTTTGACCAATAAATCCTTCTTGAGTTGAACTTGAAGACCTCAATATATGTTAGTCACATTTTAATGGACCCGCTCGACACCCCTACACAGTTTAACCAGAATTCATTCAAAACTTTTCGAGCTACTGTGTTTACAGACAGAACGACACACAAACACTACCAAAAACATAACCTCCATGCTGGAAGTAATAAAAACTTACTCTCCCAAATCAAAACACTTTAGACATTCCAAATCTGGAAATTCCCTTTTTATTTGTTGTAAAATAAAAAATATTTTCAAAAAAGACTTTGTCACAAGCAGGAACAAGTATGGAGAAGAGACAGACAGGTAGGGTGAATGAGCGATAAGATCAAGTGAAAGCGAGCCAGAAGGAAGGCGATGAGGAGAAGAAGCGGCTGAAGAGACGGAGTCGTAGTAAATCAGCGCTGAGGCAGCTAGCAAGCTGGCGAGTGTTTAGGGTAAACACACTTTTATCACCTGTCCCCACGCCAACCTGCCAAGAGACAATGTTTTGGGTGTTTTACATGAGCCACAGGCAACTTACTGTGTGCTTTGCTGTGTGTGTTTTACTTAGTGTATGTGTGGGTATGTGGCAGGCAAGCATCAACAGTCCAAAAGAGCAACTGCCAAGAAATACACAGTGTGCCACAGGCTTCTACTATATGACTGTGTCACTCTCTTCTCACTCTTTCTTTTAGCCTACTTGTTTTTAAAAGTTGCTCATGAAATGAACTTTTCAGCAAAATGTTGGTAGGTAACAGATACGTATGAATAGGAGTAGAGAGCTATTTCTCTCAGCCTAGAAGAATGGCTGTGTCGGAAAAACCACCACTTCACTTTCTAACAAGAGAGCTCAGTGTGAAGCCGTGGAATAATCTATCCTGCCAAATCCTTCATTAGTGCAATATTTATCTTAAACATGCTTACAACAGGTGTGCAACATATTCCAATGAAGTTTGTTTTCTAACAAAAATGTTTAGGATATACATATATTTTGAAAGTTTAGTTCACTCACGCTGAGCAGATTTTAGTGTGAAAGCTTAAAAAAGTTCCTTTAAATTGTCCACATACATCATCTCTTTCAGTCTCTCAAACAAACACATTATGCTTAGTGAGAGAGCTCGGGAACTCGGAGCCCTGGAGTGTGCAGTCTAAGGCCAATGTAAAGAGAAAAAAAAGCATTAATCTGAAAAATTACTTAATGTAAAAAATAACAAAATCCAGTGTTCTAACCGGTGCCTGGTGTTTGTGTAACACACCCACAGTTAAAAAAAGAAAAAGAAAAAAAACATTTTGTGTCTTCACTTCACTACTGAATGTGTGTAAATGGAAGCTGACAGCTACACTTTGCACTTCCAAATTTATGCCAGTGCTATGACTTCAACTGCAGACCCCACAGGATCAGAGAGAGAGGACAAGAAAGAAAGAAAGAAAGAATTTGAAGAGACACAAAATTTAAAAAATACTGTTTAGAAGAAGCAAAGACAAACAAAGCATAACATTTTGATGTTAAAGAAACATTAATGTTGAAGAAAAAACCAGAGTGAGAGGCAGACCAAGAGAAACAGAGAGCGCGAGCGCAAGACGGCACGAATGATAGAGTAAAAGAGAGAAACAGAGCAGGAGAGGCACAGAGAGAGCAGCTGTCCTAACAGCTGGCCAGCAGGATTGATGTCTGAGTGAAATAAAACTCAACATATGTCCAAACACGAGGAGACGGGCTAGCCAGGAGGAGGAAAGAGACACACACACACCCACATATACGCAAAAACACACAAACGCAAGCATACACACACTGATATGAGAACACTGAAGCACTCCGAAGCGCTCAAACATA